CTTAAAACAATTTCTAATAGCAAAAAACATATATTATTTTTTTGCTCATTCTTAACTACGTATATTGTTATTTAAATAAACATGTTTATATAGGTACGACAACAACCATTTGGAAGACACGATCATACTACTATTATTAGTAAGAATAATAACTCTTGTAATATAAAATTATATTAAAAGAATATTATTTAATTAGATAAACAAGATTTAGACGAGATATTAACAAAAGGTCGTGCTCCTTCACCAAGTTTAGATATGCCTCAACAATTACCACTTAATTATCCTCAATCATATATGTCAAATGGAAATAGTATGTATGGTCAATCTCAACAACCAACATATAATAATTCTCCTTATTCAAATACACAAACACAACCTTCATCTCGACAGAAAAACGATTCTTCTGAAAATAATAATTATAATTTTCAACGTTTTTATGGACCAGTAAATCATAATGAATTATATTAATTAATAATGTGCATATGTTTTAACTTGATAATTATTCTAGAATGCCAATCCTACTGAAACTCCAAAACAAGGTTCATCATCACATGGTACTGCTCAACCTATTAGAGGCGATGCACATGATCCATTTCTTTTATTTGGTAAACAAAAAAACAGAAAATAATTTATATTTGGCTTTTTTTGTTTTTGTTTTGCATAGATCCAAATAAAGAAGGTCAAAATGTTTTTAATATTATTCCTCAACAAGATTTATATGATCCATGGGGACGACCAGGTGGTGGTGCTCCTTTAATTCATCAACCAACTGGACAAAAATTTACTAGATATTCGGGTAGTTTACAAGATAAATTAGTAAATTATTATTTTATTTTTAATATTTAATTATAAAAGAGATTTAAATTTTTTTTGTAGAATGCAGTTGGACCATTAGGTTTTTATCGAAAACAATATGCTGGTAATATTGATGAACAAAAACGTGATCTTGAATTAGAACAAAGACGTCGACAACAAGAAGATATGGAACATCGATCAAATGTAAAACAGATTTATTTATTTTTTTCCGTTCAAATTCTATATTTTTCTTATAGGCTGGTGATACTGCTGAATGGATTTCACAACTTGAAAGTAGTCGTTATCCATTAAAATTACATTTACCAACAACACAAACAACTCGAGAAGTAATTTTTTTTTATTATCGAATTAATTACTTTTTTGATTATAAAATTTATTGAATAGTATATTGGTGCACGTGATCGACATCGAGTTGATGAAAGTCGTATATTACATAATGATCTTGTTCAACAAGCTGAAGAACGATATCGAAATCAACAAATAAATCGATATCAAAATAGTATTGCTGAATTACAAGTATATCATTTAGTTTTATTTTTAAATAAAATTAGAAAATAAATTTTTATTCGTTTTTTTTTTCTAGCATACTGAAGCACAAAATAGTTGGTGGGGTAGAAGTGGTGGTGGTGCACCAACATTTACAAATCGACGACATAATGTTCAAAATACATTGGAACATTCTCGACAAAAATGGGTATAATATATTTTTTTTTAAAATACATTGTTGATATGATATCTAATTAATTTTAGACAACGAATCATCTTGGTCAATTAGTAATGGCTGATAATGGAGAACCAAGTCAAATAAAATATTTTGACTCGGATTATTATTATCCAAAAGTAAAAGGTTTTTCCAGCCATCGAAATCAATATGAAGCAATTGATGATAAAAGATCTTGAAACATTAATTTTTCCTTTTTTTTTTCTTTTTCACAAAATGAATTTTATATAACATTTAATATAATAAAATATATTCTTAATACAAACTTTTTCATTCTTATTTAAACTTTATTATATAAGATATCAAATTTCATATAATGTCATCATTAAATTTTTAGAAATATATCTACGTGCATAAGTATACAATACTTGAAGATAATTTACATCAATTAAGTTAACAAGCTTGTCTAAGATCTACTTCTAATTTGGTTGACTGTTCTTTTTTTCATCTTTGTCGTTGATTAATTTATTAAAAAGCACAATACTTATTATCATTGCATGAGAAAAATAAACTTAGGCATAACAAAAAAAAAAATATTTAATTCTAATTGATAACAATTGGAGGATGAGGCTTTTGAACATGAATACAACAATACTGAATATACAGGTTATCTATTTATATGAGTAAGATGATCTCGCAATCAGCACTATAAATATCTAGTCTCGTTCTTGAATAATAATAAATATCTTTATGATAAAAGACTTCAATATCTCATCTAGATTTGATTGCAATATGCTGATTTTTGTATACTCAAAAAGTGAGTACACTCTAGAATCGGTCAGTGTGTCCGTCCGTCCGTCCGTTTACACGATATCTTTCGAAAGGAGAGTCCGATCGCGATGAAATTTTCTACATAGTTCAGTCTTTACAATATCTCGGTCGAGTTCGAAGATGAGAAGGATCGGCCGAGCCGTTCCTGAGTTATTGCAAAAATACCCATTTTTCCCTATGGCATCCTATGGGAAAATCGATCCATCGCCACTTTCGTAAAAGACTTTTCCTATCATTGTCAATTAAAACACCAACTATTATATACCATTCGATAGAGAATTTCAAGAGCTACAAAATGATATATAAAACATTAAGAAAGAAGAAGACTAACTCACCTATTGGTAAGATAAATAAGCGGGAATCAGTTCGGTTTTTGTGCACGCTCCAATCGATCCCTGATACGAACTCTATCTTCCGATTATAGAGGTGATAATTGAAGGTTTTCTAGTATGGAGAACTCGAATCTGTACTGCGCACTCGCCTCGAAGGCCCATTGGTTGAGCATTGACCAATAGAAATCAAGTTATAGGAAAAACGACTTTCTGAGGCTAATTTAAGCCGAAGAGTTCAAATCCGAGCTGTATACGCTTCCAAGTCCTATTGATTGAGCAGTAGCCAATGGAATTCAAGGGTTTATAGAAAGGATTTGCCAGGCAAATTTTTATATCTAGACATTCCAAGGTGACCGATTTGTCTCATTCACTTTTTGAAGTACACATACTCTCGGATATAAATCCGAGATTTCCGCATTTATTTTATCGATGATAGAGAAGTTTTCAAAGTTTTAATTGAAAAACTCATAAATCTTTATTAAAGTCAATAGTCATAGTTTAAAATAACATTTTTCAATGTTTTGCTTAACAATTAAAACTCTCAACGCTTGTCTATTATCGATAAACAAAAACAACTCCTTAGGCACGAATAAAAAGGGCATTTCTGATGATGAAACGGACAAAAAACAAATTGATGTTTTTCAAGTTCATTGATGAAAAACAACATTTTAATTAAGAAAATGCAGTAAATTTCATTTTTAATCAAAATCATGCAATGAAATCGATGAAAATGTCTATTTTAATCAATGAATTTGAAATACATTATTTTTTCTTTGTTCGTTTCATCATTTTAATGCCATTTTTTTGACTGCCTGGATATTCAAATTTAATATCGTCAAAGATATTTGTGGAACACTCTGTAAGAGATATCGAAAATTTCTTGAAAAATTTCAATATTATGCCGTCGAATAAAGTGAAATTTTCATTGAAGATAAGATTTGCATATAAGTTTCACTTTTGTATGATCGAAACAACTGATTTATGGCAATCCGAAGATCAAATATAATTCAGGGTAACAACTATCACTGCTGTCTTTTATTAGAACATTGTAAAAAAAGTTTATTATCATATTGAACAAGGTCGGACAATTTTAATTGTTGTCAAAATAGTATAAGAGATAAATCGAATAACTTATTGAACCGAAAGATCAGAATGCACGTTCTTCGGTATTTTTTACGAGTGAGAAATGCCCACTAATCAATTTCAAAAAATCAGATCGGTTACTATTTTTAGTTGCGCCGTTAATTTTAGTGCACAGTTAACATTCATGTCACATAATGCAGTTGATAGTGTACTTAGTCTTGTATGTAGGTGGAGAATGTCATTGAACCGAATAAATGTTCTGCTTTTATTTATTGACTAAATGAAACTTCAGAAATGTTCGCATATTGAAAATTCTTAGTTGTTATCAGTCGCGAGGTGCAAAACTCATGTCAAAAATTTTGACGAGAAATCAGAATAAAAATCGATTAAGCAAGATTAAAATCAATTGAAAACTACTATCTTCAAAATTGAAAAAATCAGACTTTTTCTGTTTTCTTGAAAAATGAAATAAAGTTCAGATCAGATGGCCTATGAGATACATACGTTTGTCTATTTGTTTTAAGATATCGAATATATATATAATTCAAAATTTGTATTAGACCAATATACAAATTTATAATGAATACATTCATCATCGAATTCTGCATATTTCAAAAGGAAAATCGAATATATATCTCGAGCGACAAGAGTTATGAGCAGAAATATTTTGAATGTTTTCTTAATCTCAGTAAAACTTACTTATGGTCAAAATATGAAATTAAAAGATCGCGAACAGTCAGGATTTTTCTCACGTTAATCAATGTAAAACATCTACAGATTAAATAAATTGGTATTAGCACCTAAACAAAATATTGCTTATCTTTGAATGAAACAAATTTTTTACTATATTAATTCATGATTTGATTTATTAACAACAAAGAAGTTAAGAGAAAAATATTAGAATTCAAGTTTCAACTCTGACTTAATGTCAGTAACAAAAAAACTAACATTATTCTTACTTATTTACTAATATCACTATAAATTTTTCTAGATTCACTACGAGCTAGATGTACGTCAAAATCTCATGTCTTACATAAAACACTTGATTTTCAATGCTGTTTGTAAGGCACTATACATAAATGGTTGAGTTATCAATGTGAAAAAGAATAGAATTCTGTTCATTCAGAAAAATAAGCGGCAATAAATACAACTTCAACTTTTTTTCTTTTGCAATCTAAACTTTTCTCTTTGGAATATTTTATTTAAATTAAAAAAAAAAGAATCTTATTCTCTGAATAGTTTTATGTCTTAGAGTGAGACGAGATATTTTTTTTTTCTTAATCACAATCTAATATCATATGTTCATCGGGATGTTCTAACCAATGAAGAACTGAAGAAAGTTCATCTTCTAATATTTCATTAGATTTCTTTTCAATAATATCATTATTTGGTATAGATAATAATTGACGTGCTTTTTCTTTAATTTCATTTGAACAACCATCATTAATAAGAAATTCAAGTATATTTTCTAATTCATTATTTTTATTACCAATAAATTCAATTAAATGAAGACATTGAATTTCAGTTTCATGACCACCATCTCCAATTAATAAAGGTATTTGATTAATAATAATTGTTAATAATGAATTAAAATTTATATTTAATTCAAATGAAAAATAATAATTAATTTCTTTTATTTTATTAATATTCTTATCTGTTGCTTTAGTTAAAATAATAAACCATGCATGTGCAAGTGAACAACGAACAACATCACCAAGAGAATAATGTGTAAGTTGAATAAAATTTGTTGTAAGATAATTATCTAATGGTGAAATTAAATCGTATTGAATAAGTGTAGCAAGAAAATCAATAAGACTTGCTTGAATATATTCATTATTATTATTATGAACAAATTTTTCAATAATAGATTGAAGAAATTTATTTGTAAACCATGAAGGATATTGATTAGAATGAAAATTTTTTTTTATTAATTCAATTAAAAAATGAAAAACACAATCTTGATTATCCCATTGTAATAATTTATCATTATTTTGAAAAAGAATTATTTCTAAAATAGAATAAATTGATTCAAGATAAATTTTTCTATTAATTGTATTAATTATTAAATTAAATAATGATTTATAAACAATTGTTATTCTTTTTTTATTTTTAACATGATTAATAATAATATCATGTAGATTATAATCAATATTTATTAATAAATTAAATTCTTGTAATTTTTCAAAACAATTTATAAGTTGTGCTAAAATTTTATCATGATCATTATTTTCTTTAATTAACATCATAAGAATTGTCGATGAATAAAAATCAAATTTATAAATAAATGAATTTGAATTAATTATAAATGGTTGAATTGTATCAAGAACAATTGATGCAAGATCTATTGATTGAATATTTCTTTCATATAATTCACAACATATAGATTCTGTTAATTCATTAGATTCATCTTTTCCATTAACTAAAACTATATAATAGACATTTAGTTTTATCAAATGACGGTTAAGAGTGCTATCTCCTTGCCGAAGTTTATTAGAAAACTTTGAAATTTAAAGAGCAAATAGATCTTGAAGAATAAAGCAAAAGTTGTACTAAACTCAAAGTTTCCAAATGCTGTCTTCTATGAGATATTGAGCTCATATGTGTTCAAAATAACTTCTCCATCTGTCCAATATACTACGTTTAATTGAGTTTTTTGATTAAGCTTTGCTTCAAACGTTTAACTATAGCCTTCTCGCTACAGCCCCAACATATCCTGAAATCCATTTTTGATGAGTGGCCTTAAAAAGACGCTTGTTTTGTTACTACAAAAAAGTTATGAAAGTTGCCAAAAATCACCAAAGCAATATTTTTCGAAATAAAAAAATACCTACGTTAAATAGTGTCTAGTCTATGTGAAAAAAAAAGTTTCAGTTCCATAACCATTTACCATGTCAGAGAAACAGTACACTTATTTTTTGTATAAAACTTGGTTTTATATAGATTTTCTATTCCTGTGCATTTGATGGATGTGGGACTGCAGAAGAATCACACACACACATACCTCACATCGTTCTTTCCGAAGTCAAAACAATTTGTTTTTAGGCAGACTGATAGATGACACTTCAAAGTGTATATATTATCAATACAAAATCAAAAAAAGAAATTGAATAACAGAAAGAACGAACTTACTGTTTTGTTCACTTTCATCAATTTCTTCAATATCTGTTTCTTTCATATAAAGAAATAGACCTTTGAGACAAGCACTTAATTTATTAATCGATTGATGATATTCATAACGTGATGAAATTATTGTTAAAAGCATATAAACATAATCGGATAAAGATTTTTCTAGAATATGATTTAAATAAGATATAATATGATCTTCATCAATTATATATCGAACTGTTTTTAATACAAATGCACGTATTGTCGGACTATCTGATAGATTTTCATAGATATTCAATTGTTTAATTAATAATTGTTGTTTATCTTGATCAAATAATATTAAAATATTATAAATAAGATCTGAATTTTGAGATTGTTTTTGAATTTGATTCAATAATTCATATTGATTATGTTTAGAAATATATAATGCTAAAAATTGTGCAAGAGTATTACATACATAAAGATTTTGATCTGAAGAAAAAATTTTAATAATATGTGAAAAGAAATTATCATCAAATAATTGATAAAAATTATGTTCATAAATTAGAATAGCTATTTGTAATGATAAATGACGAATAATACTTGATGAAATTAAAAGTTTATGATGAAAAAGTTGATTAAGATAATTATTTTTATTTAATTCAAAAATTTGTAAATTTTGACGTAACGAATAACGTATTAAACGAAGTTGATATTCAAATGTAATAATATTTGTTGAATGATAAGGATAAATAATTGATGAAATAATTATTTCAATAGATGATTTTAATTGTGAATATTTTTGAAAAATTTCATTTAATAATTGAGTAAATCGTTCAAAATAATCACGAGATAATTGAGGACTATCTGATTGAGTTTGAATTAAAAAACGATTAAAAATTTTTTCAACTAATTTCAATCGATTTTCATCATCGTTATTCATCTTTAATAGAAAAGAAGCAATTTCTATTTTTTTCATTTAACTAATTTTTTTATATAAAACTAAAGGATCGATTAATTTTTTTTTTTCGTTTCTTACAATGTGCAAAAAAAACATTCGCTAATCTAGTTGAAATGACCTTTAATGCTCAGTATATTCTTGGAAATTCTTTGTTGCTTTGCGTATGAATTATTCAGAGATCATAGCATAGGTGAATTCGCCTTGTATTGCTGAGTTAAAGTTATAGTAAGTGACTGAATATAAAAAGATTAGTTCTTTATTACAATGAATTAATAATTTACACTCCATAGCTTCTATTGGTTTCAAACGACCATCCATACATACTCATTATCACTCCACAAATCCAAAATAGTACCAATAAATGTGTCTTGAGAAAGAAAAATAATTGTCTATTTCTTTTTATGACTTTGAATAACAAAAATAAGATAGTTTCCAAAACTGTTCCTACTTGTGGCTCCCTCTTAAGAATGTTTTATAACATTCATAGATACGATAAGTATATGGTCGCGTAACAATTTTCAATTCAACACATATAAACACGATCATCAATATTCTTTTATTGTGAGGGATGCTGATGAATTCGTAGACAGTTTTATTCTCTTTCTTAATCGGATGTACGTGTAGACGTGAGTATTGAACAAAAGACATGGTGAGTCCGATTTTCATTCAACCGGTATTTGTGTGAACAAAAACTACACGGACTTTTTCTTCATCAATACCTATCCTGCGGCTAGATTGTAATAGGTGTTAGTGAATGATGGGTGAAGGAGTGGAAATATTTTCTGTTAAATATCGTGTGGTTCCTCGATGTAGGAAAGCGTAGCTTGGTTATCGTCCTGTGAATAATGTATAACACCAGTATTGCTGTATAGAACAGCTGAAATCGAAAAATCAGTTGGAAGGATTATTTCTTTGACTCTAGCGAATTTCTCCAAGTATAATAGTGCATTTAAGTAATTGTTCATAAATTGATACACTGTATCTATATTGTTATAGAGTCTCATCAACAATATATGATTCTATTTTATCAGTGAAACTATTATACAGTTATTTCATATTGCTGAACGTTCGCTTGACTTTCGTAATGAAGCTCCAAAATCTGCCCTACACACTATGACAGACAAGTCAAAACCTGCTTCTCTAATTGAATTGGTTGCTTTTCGTCGAAAATATTTGTGTGAAGGCCACTGACTGTCATAAGATCTTTGGCTCGTATAACACGATACCTCAAACACATGTCAAAGTTGTTTTGCTCACATTCACACTATTCGTTTGCCTTCGCAAATGTTTTCGACAAAACTTCTTTCGGTGAAAAGTAACTTTACCCTTAAAACAGTGTTAGTTGTCATGATCAATATAACGAAAGTCCTCATATGCTACAAAAGCGGCTCTATCGTGTTCACGTTTCAATCCCGTAAGTATTGCATTAAAAGCTTTTTCTATTGAATACACGATGGATAAACTGATGAAATATTAAGGCTATGCCACAGATATAATTTTCCTCTGAAAAAATCTTTCCCAATATATATAACATGAAATAGTCCAACGGTTGATTATAAAAAATATCGCGATTGCTACGTCAATCATTCAATCAATTAATTTTTTTACAGTATGTGTAGCTGTTTTAATTAAAGTCATCGAGAGTGTGGATGTGGATGGCGGTGGAGATTTAGGAGTGTCAGCGTTCCCCGTTCCTCAGCATTCCGTTCCTAGGAACGGGAACGCTTGTCAAAATCGCATTTCACGCTATATTTCAACATGGTGAGGTCTCTAGACATATTCACTTTTCTTTTTATGTTTGAGTGTTCAGCGTTCCCCGTTCCTGAGAACGGGGTAGCGTTCCCCGTTTCCAGGAACGGGAACGGAGTAGCGTTCCCCGTTCCTAGGAACGGAATGCTGAGGAACGGGGCACGTTGACATCCCTAATTTTTATGAAATTGGCTTTCCTTCGGTGAATTAGTAAAATTTCTGTTAAAAGTGAAAGAAACGTATGTTGCGTTCCAGTTTCTAGGAACGGAACGCTGAGGAACGGGGTAGCGTTCCCCGTTCCCTGGAACGGGAACGGAGTAGCGTTCCCCGTTCCTAGGAACGAGAACGGGGTAGCGTTCCCCGTTCCTAGGAACGGAACGCAAAGTTGACACCCCTAGTGGAGATACAACCAACGAAAGATGCATATACACGTCTACACTACTCATGTGCTGATCCAAATATACACTCGCCTTCATACTCACAGCCTCAGAGAGAGGACCTAAGGGTACCTCCAATAGTAGGACTCGAGGACCCTTAGGTGCCTCCTAATAGTAAGACTTGAAGACCCAAAGGTGTCTCCTAATAGTAGAACTTTAGTACCTAAGGATACCCCCAATAATAGGACTTGAGGACCCAAGCGTATCTTCCAATAGTAGGACTTGAAGACCACAAGAGTACCTCCCAATAGTAGGACTTGAGGACCTAAGGGTCCCCACAATAGTAGGACAGTTACTCCGTTCCCCGATAACTGATACCTGTACCCTTACCGTTACCCGGGAGCGGGAACGGTAACTTTCCATTCCTACCCACACCTATGATCAACATCAACTTGTAATTCTCCTCAAGATATACGAATTTTCAAGTTGATATTTTATGTGACTTTTATCTCATAATCAAAAACATTTTCTTCACATCAATCAGTTAAAGAAAAAAGAGAATGATTAGAGCTTACATATTGTTTATTTTTTCATATGAAAAAGTGATAAACAATACAAAAAAAGCAAAAGAAAAACGACAACTAGGGTGTGGGTGGGTGTGGGCGTGGGTGTGAGGTGTGGGTGTGGGTATGGGTGTTCAGAAACGTTATATCCACACCTACACCCACCCACACCCGCACACTAGTGAACTGCATCGGAGTCATTTCGGAGTCGTCATCGGTGTTAAATAAATTTCTTGCCGAGAATTTATTTTTAACATTAGAAAGTTTTTGACTTGAAGGTTTTGTTCTCTGATATTTTCTCTACAAACTGATGTATTTTGAAGATCCAATCGATGTCTTATCGACGGTTACGGTCAGGAAAGAAAATCGGAGTCCGAATTGACTCCGATTTTTTGTGACTCCGACTTTCTTCCGTGACAGAAACCCTCGATAAGGCATCGATTGGATCTTCAAAATTCATCAGTTTATAGAGAAAATATCAGAGAACAAAATCTTCAAGTCAAAAACTTTCTAATGCTAAAAATGAATTCTTGGCAAGAAATTTATTTGACTCCGATGACGACTCCGAAATGACTCCGATGCAGTTCACTACCGCACACCCACATCCTCGAAATCGAAAATAGATGAGAAGGAGAAAACAGACATCACGAATATCTTATTTCAATGTAAAAATAAAACATACAACTTCGATTGACATTTACCATTTAGAAATTTACAAATCTAAACTAACAGATTATTTTATTATTAATAATTTGCGAAAACAAACATCATGAAAGCTTTCAGCGTCTAAAATATGTGTTTATCAAAAATTAAAATTAAAATAACATTTGATTTTTTGTGCGATGTTCATTCATATTGGTTGAATAGTTTGACAAATTCATCGAAGGACAATTTCTTATCCTTGTTCGTATCCAACGCATCTAACTGAGTCTTGATTTCAGCCTCTGTAAATCGCAGTCCCCTCTTCTCCAGTCCTTTCTTGAGTTCATTAGCTTCAATAAAACCCGACCTATCCTTATCAAATTCAGAAAACAGTGCACGTAAGTCGTCTGGTGATTGCTTGACTATGAGGTCATGTTCCATAAAGCGGCGAAACCCAGCAAAGTCAATTTCACCTAAATCATTCAACAGTAAAAGTAACAAGCATTCGATGTATTGGAAAGATATCGTGTGCGTACCGGTTTTTTGAGGGTCCAATACACCCATGTACACCTCCATCTTCCGTTCGTTGAGTTCCAAGCCGAGTGCTTTGAACACATTCATAAGTTTGCTCCTTGAAATTTTGCCCGATTGATCTATATTCACAATTATATCAATTTTCAAGTCCATTTCAAAGCAAAAAGACTACCGGTATCGAACATTTCAAAGGCATCGTGAAGTTCATCAGTAGCGAATGAGTTGGTCATGTATGTGTATGCTTCTAGTCGACTAGTGAATGTAACAAGACTTGAATAATAGTCACTGTGCACAAAATCAGCTAGGCGGAAAACGAATCACAACGAAAATGTTGTTTTTTTTTACGCGGCAAATTTCACTTATACGAGTTGATGTTGATGATAGCATCATCACAATTTGGTAGAAAGAGATGGTTTGCAGCAACGACAAACATGTAATCATATATTCTACCTGTGATAGTAATTGACAAGACAAGATCGAATTTTTTCGATTTGGACGTGCCTGTTAATTATTCTGAGTTAATGAGAGATCAAATCGAAAAAATTCGATCTCGTCTTGTCAGTTAATTATTATCACAGGTAAAATAAATAATTGTATGTTTGTCGTTGCTGCGAGCCATTTCTTTCTACCAAATTATGACGATACTATCATCAACATCAACTTGTATAGATGAAATTTGCCTCGCAAAAAAAAGTTTTTGTCATCGTTCGTTTTTCGTCAAACTTGATTGGTAGTAAAGGAGCAGCTAGTGAAACATGTAAACTTTCGAATGCTTAAGAGAAGAAATGAGCATGTCATAATAAGTCAAGCACATCATGCGAGAATATTCAGAGTGAGGACTTATGAAAACTCTCTCTGCTCAAATAATTGTAACAATATGAAAGAAATGCATAGGTTTATAGGTGATTGGAGTTATCTGTTATTATAATTGTCTCTTTAAGTCAAAAGTGAATTACAGAGAATTTTTTGAGAACATTGCCAATGTTGATCTTATACATATGAGCTACGAACATTTCTCTATCAGTTCTAAAAAGATTATTTCATTTGATCAAAATGTGGTGGAGAAGCTCAAAGTTATTGGAATGTAGTGTGACTTTTAGAATATACTATATATTTGAAAAATTATATTTTTTAAAAGTGCACTATAGCCAACAAATTTATTAAGACAAAAACGAGAACAACCAGGATCACGCTTCACTTGAAAAATATCTTGAATAATCTTTCATATTTTGTATACTGTTATAAGATGTTGTTGCTCTTGTCTTCAATGTCTTGCGTTTTGTTATTTCATCTTTATAATCTTCTTGTATAATATCAGCTGGTCGCTCAGCCGATGTAAATATTGTTGCTGATGGGTTCGCATCAACTTGATTACTAAATGCGGGTGCATCACAAACGCGAACATTTGTATCACAACACAATCCAATTTGATATGTTGTTCTTAGATGTAAAGCTGATTCTGAATGCCCGTTGATAAAATCTGTCAGATTGATATCAATACCAGGATAAATTTAGGTTGCTATTAAATGACTCCAAGGTGTGTGTGTGTGTGTGTGTGTGTGTGTGTGTGTGTGCGTCGTTATCAAATTTCGTATTGTTTGAATTGATTGATTAAATGGGTCGTATTCATAATTCGGTATTGTTTGCCAGTTAAAATTTACAATAGGTTTATCTCAGATATCTGTGGATGGTGATAATTTTATATTGCCCAAAAATATTGGGTCTTGCAAAAACATTCTTAATGAGAGTTCAGCTCTTGGCTGTGCATCATGATCTAGTGAACCAAATCCATACTCACGCGACCGTAAATTAATAAAATAATCAGACCAATGGTAACTTGCATCAGTGAAATAAATTTGGATATCGATAATATTGATGAGGTGTAGCAAATGTACCACCAGCCTCTATTACTTCTTTATTTACTTGAATTTTATATGTTTCAGTATTATTCTGTATAATTACTCCTACGGCTTTCGTTCCGTCAAATAAGATTTTAGTGATCATGGTTGCTTGATGTATTCGTAAATTTGTGCGATCAAGAAGTGATTTATTGACATAAGCTTGAAATGATGTACTGAGGTGATGTAGAGATTGTTCGTCCATGCGATTTAACTCTTTCGTGTGATTAAAAACTTGAACTGGTGCGCAGTCCAGTCCTCGTCTATTTGAAAAATTACATGAACGCAAGACTGGTGCATGTGGAACTGTACGTAAAAAATGCCTTGATTCAGTTAAGTTCGATAAATTGACAAAAGGTGATTTTGACTATAACAACACTAACAATCTAAAGGTTCTAAAGTGGCAGGACAAACGAGAAGTCATTATGTTGTCTACAATCCACAAGCCGAGGATGATACAAACAGGAAAAAGTGATTAGCAGATTCAAAAAGTAATTGAAAAACCAGAGTGCATTGTTCATTACAATGAAAACATGGGCTTAGTTGACAAAACTGATATGCAGATCAGTTTTGTAGAATGCATACGAAAAACTGTTAAGTGATACAAGAAATTCTTCTTCCATCTACTGGATTTATCAACATTGGACGCATGTATGCTATTCAAAGTGAAGTATAAAAAAACTATTCAATTTGGGGAATTTCGGAAAGAATTGATTCGGCAATTGATTGAAAGGCATGCTCAGTCCAAACATACAATTGGTCGTCCGATTATCGGGGATAACCCCGTACGTCTTACTGCACGTCATTTTCCATCTCTAGTTCCAGCAACAGCTTCAGGGAAAAGTGCACAAAGAGCTTGTATAGTCTGTAATCATACAAGCAGACGCGAGAAAAAGCGTAGGGATACACGTTATCAGTGTGATATTTGTAATGTTGGACTTTGTGTGATAGGTTGTTTTGAAGATTATCATACTTTAAAACATTTCTAAATACTTCTATATACTAATAAAGGTTATTGCAGACTGTTTTAGAACGAAAAATAAAAGATTCATCTTGAAAAAAAAACCCGTAACCAAAGGGTTAACAACTATTGAAGAAAAACAATTACTCATTTCGAACGTCGAAACTAATCTAAAAGTTCGCAAAAAACAATTTTATTATGTTATTCTATATTATATGGTTAACAAACATTGGCCGTACATCAAAAAGCAAGCACCATCTCTACTTGATCTTGATGCTTTTTTCACATTATTAGAATTCCTTATTGACAAGCAAATATTAAAACAATTTGATGAAAATTTTGATGAAGGTGAGTGAGAAGTATTTTTCTAATGAGCTATAAAAAGTGTGATTCATTTCTTTGTTTTATTCCAGGTGATGTTTTTATATCATATGTTATTACAAGTAGTGCATATCTCATTGTTGCAAATGATCCATGTTATTCTGTTGAAAGCGTCGAAGATTTTACTGTAGTTCTCTCCCATGGATTTAGACTTGTTGACACATCTAATCAAGCATTTATTTATTTTTTTACATTTTTACAAGCAATTTTATCAACTCCATTTGTTGTCCAATTGTGTTGTGAACTAATTAATATGAAGATGTTCCACAAAAAACAATTGAACAATCATTACAAGATAATATCTCAAAACTAAAGATTCATTTGTATCTTGCGGATCTTTCCGACTATTATTGTACATTAACTCTCTATGATGGAAAGTTACTGTTAAATGGTTCTGAACGTGGTTTATTCAAAGCGACTGACAAGATGATTAGGTAAAACTTTCGGTTTTTTCAAAAATGAGATAGTAAAATTATTTGTTTCAGATTGAATTGGGAATTGAATTCAAATGATGGCTTAATGATTAAAAGATGGGCAGCACTTTTGATCGTTATTATTCATGAAATTGCCCATAGTAATTAAGACTTAAGATTGAACTAATGTTAAAATCTTCAGCATATTTTCTAAAATCCTTTATCTATTTTAGGCCTTCGAAGAACAATCATTGCAAAAGCACGAAACTTGATATTAGCTCAAATACCACCAAAAAGTATTGATGTTAGTACAGGTGAAGCTGGATTTTGTTTGGAAACATTACTTTTTGGAGATAAAGTTGATTCAATAGGTTTACAGGATGGCGAATATTTATTGAAGACGGCCAATTGGAATGTTGTTAATGTTGGACATTTCCAACGTGAATTCAAACAAGCAGTGGTGAAAGACAAAAGGCGTCCCAATCAAGACCGACTCAAGTTACCCTCTCGATGTATTGAAGGACCCAGTCATGGTACTCGTATTCGAATTGGTGGTTGTGGAACATCACAATACGCAATTCATCTGAATAACTAAAACTAATATAACTAGTCTTCATTAAATTGATAAGAGCACATAGTCATACTGAATTTTCAACTTTTTCACGTTTTTTTTTTATTGAATTCAGGAAGTCAGCAAATTAGAAGCATTGCATTTTCAATGATACTCTTAAAGTGAATAATGAAAATCATCAATTGAATTCAGTGCAGCGGATATATCGATAAGAGTTATCTCATTACTTCTATTATTCATCAAATTCATGGAACAACATTCGATTGAAATGTGCGTTTCATCATTGAATTTTTCTTGTCGTCAACTATTTTAATTTGGAAGTCATATATTTTTCTAATTTTCACTACCAGAAAAATGTTTCAGATCTTCCGAACTCTGATTGGCTTGCTTTAGTGTAATTCATATTTAGAGTGAGACAAACATCTAAGTCATAGCAGGGAGGATGAATCGAATTCGGCGATCGACAGTGTGAGAATGATACCTTATATGTGAATTGTTTGTATCATGGGAAAACAATGTCACATAAGCACCTGGAGATAGAAATCGAAACTGGTTGAGTGGATTCTTGATTGAGAGCTCAAGCGATTTTTTTATGAATATTCTGCAATACGAAAATGAGTTTTTATTCTAATTATTCAAGACGAACACACACGACAACGTACACTCTAATATCTATATTTGCAATATCTCTTATGGTACTACTTATTTAAGTTTTCGAGAATATCGTGAAAAAACATCTAATACCCCCCCCCCCCCTGGCTTCTGTGATAGTTAGTTACATTTTCGGAACCCCTTCCTTTCGCCAACTGATCATGTTATTTCCAAGTAGTCTCCCTTCATATAACATTCTGTTAAAATGTTATAGTTACAATGACATGTGTTTAATCGACTGATGAATATACCTAGGAAAAAAAAAGTAGATTGTAGATAGAATCTATAATTGGACAAAAGAAATCAATATTAGTCTTTTCTAAATGTATTTATTTGTTGCTACTCTGAGGTATTTTCTAACAACAGTGCTTTAGTTTATTTCTTGACATTGTGTTTTAATTGCTTCTACCAAATAACAAACGAAAATATTCATAGACAGATAGAGCTTATATAAACAAAATCAACATCAATAACTTGATTTTTATAATTAATTTCAAGCAAAAAAAAATGAAATTAATAGATTAATATTTAAGAAATTCTTCTTTCTCCTAAATAATTTTAGATATAAGGAAAAAAAATTCTATTTATTTTGTAAGTGTTTGTTTCATAGCTTGTAGACAATCTTCACCAGTTATTGTATCAAAATATTCTTTTTTTTCTTGCTCATTATCAATAGAAATTAATTTAATTATATCTGACCACCATTTTTCTTTCGTTATTTGAAAACCTTTTAATGGTCTTTCACATATCATTTTTAACCATTTTCGTGATAAATCATCTGGGATTTCACTTCTTTCACATCGAATCGAAAAATCATTGGATGATATAATATTTGCATCAAATATTAATCGATGAGCAAGTTGCGGTTCCAGTTGATGTCGTATAATTTCAAGTGGTATTGTAGGAAATGGTACACCAACAGCTGATTCTGTAACACCAATGCGAAATGTTTTTCGTGTACCTATAGCAATATAATCACATGCAAGAGCAAGTACAACACCAGCAGCAATAGCATGACCATCAAGTGAACAAGCTACTGGTTTTGAACAACGAAGAGGTGCTGTTGCACCACGACTAATTGTATCGAAGACAAATTTATCAATTGTTGGTCGATGATGTTTAGCACATCGTTCATGCATATCAGAAAGATCAACACCAGCAGAAAATGTTGAACTAAATAAAAAATCAATTTTTATGATAGATATATTTTGTTTTAGTGATGAATACCTAAAATTAGAACGTAGATGAACACCTTTAATATGATCATTTTTTGAAGCATAATCAAAAGCTTGATCAAGATCATTGAGCAATCCAATAGATAATGCATTAACTTTAGGTCTATTCATAGAGATAGTTAATATAGCATCAGCTAATGAAACACTTAAATTTTTCCAATGTTGTTGTAAAGCTGCCATTATATGATATAAACATATTTTTGCTTTACTTCTGGTCAGTATTATATTTTATCTTTATTTCGTTCTTATTGCTTGCATTTATCTAAAAACGGGTTAAGTCTTAAACAGATGGAGCACATTGAAATACGTTAGTTTAGTATTTATTTTTTTCAACTTATATTCTTTTATGTGTTCAATAGATGGATGAAAAAAAAAACAAAATTTTTTGACTTTTTTTTTCTGTATTTTCAATTTGATGCTACAACAAAAAAACTTTTTCTTGTATTTTATATAAATTGAATAAAAGAAAAAAAAATTTTGTCCTTTTCAACTACACATAGCATGAAATGAGGGCATGGGTATGAGTATGAGTATGGGTTTTCTCTTCACCAACACCCACACCCTCACACAAGTTTCAATTAGGTGTGTAGAATGATCTCATCTCGAAAATCACAACGCTTCTACAGGAAACCATTGTTGGAAACGTTTGACTCAATTAACTACTAAACCACATTTCAATTGCATCGGTTTGTTCTGAATCTTGACGAATCAAATATGTCGATGGCAAATGAGCTCGCAGTCAATCTACTAGTTCATCTGATTCTGATCGAACTGACGATGTTCGCTTTGCGTTCCAACTGTGATCTTGGCAAAGACACGTCAAGGATCGAAGAGCGAGCATAGCCTGAATGAGCTCAAAGATAAGGACTCGATCTTCGACGCGAGCTCGTTCCAGTTCCAGCACATTTAATCGACGAATCGAATGACTAATCAGTCGAAATATGAAAGATTCCGAGTCGTCGTTACAGTAGATCGTCAATGAATAAAAGTAATAATCAGAAAAGTTGTCTAGGTGTTATTGCAGTAGCTAATATTAATGAATGGTCAATACCAAGAAGATTACTTTTAGATAGATTAAGCAATTCGATAAAATGAAAAACATCTTTACCAAATCATGGAAAGGGATATGGAAAAGGATGTTTTTGTGATTGATTATGACCACAGAAGTCCAGAATAATAACATGAAAATCACGTAATGCTTCGTTGATAATACGATCATAACATTTATTACGAAAGACGCACTATAATAAATGAGTATTGTTGGTTTATGTCTTTTTCATTCTCAATAATGAAGTTGAAAAGCACCTTCAATACTTTCACCATTCTCTTGGAGGATGGACCGATTGGGTAAAGTAATAAAATGACTGGTTGCAGAAGAAGACACCATTCGTCAAAAGACACGAGAGATGGAACAAAAAGTGTATTATTTAAAAAGAAAATTGTTTGCTTTTTATATTCAACCGATATGTGATCGTTACTCGATTAGTAGATAGATGTCTTTCGGAAGATTTTCATTCGATATTTAGAGAACATATACAAGAACTTTGTTTCACTAGTGAACCGATGTATTCATACCTTTGATCTTTTCAAAGGAATGATTAACTTTTCAAATCTCAAAGTTGGTGATCGAGATGAATAAATATTTAGTTGGGATTGTTTTCAAGTTGATTCTTTTGTCATTCACTAATTAACAAAAAGACTTTTTTTTTCAATCATTTTTAATCAATATTTATAAAACAGAACTCATATGAAAGACTAAATGAGCATATTTAGAGATGAGAACGTAGATTTTTATATTCTTCGATCATCTCTTTCACAAAATTAATCATAATTTCAGGTTGTTCCATTGGAAATGAATGATTTCTCTCGTTTAATTGTGTATCTCGTCCTTTTTTGAACCACGTGGCAAGATCAATTGCCGTTGGTGGAATTGGAATATTATTAGTTGTTACAGATTTTGATGCTCTAACAACATGAATTGGAATATTATGGATAAATTTTGAATCTTTAATGGTTTGATAAATATTTGAGTCAGATTGGACACTTGTTAGATAAAGATGCCACGCTCGTTCAGATGTACATTGAAGTTTAAAATTCTCATCAATAGCATATGTACAATAATTACGAAGAACATCTTTTGGCCAATAACCAAGTCGTTCAGGTTTGTCCATTTTTGATATCATATCTTCTACAGACAACCATTGATTTTTCTGTTGAGCAAGTCTTACAAATTTCTCTATGTTTTTAACTCCTACTTCATAGATGTACGAAGAATATATACCAGGATCAAGTAAAAGTAACGATCGAAAAAGTTGTCTAGGTGCTAACGCAGCAGCTAATATTAATGCATGTCCACCTAAGGAATGGCCAATACCAAGAAGGTCGTTTTTAGATAGGTCAAGCATTTCGATAAATTGTAAAAGATCTCCACCAAACCATGGAAAGGGATATGGAAGAGGATGTTTTTGTGATTGACCATGACCACGAAAGTCAAGAGAGATAACATGAAAACCAGATAATGCTTCATTGATAATACGATCATAGCATCGACTATGGAGTGCAGCACCATGACAAACAAGTATTGTTGGTTGATGACCTTTCCATTCCCAATAATGAAGTTTAAGTCTCCCTTGACTAATTTCACCATTTTCTTGAACAATAGGACGATTCGATAAAGTAATAAAATGACTAGTAGGAGTAGACGACATCATTCGTCGAAAGATACGACCAATTGTAAAAAGCATCCTATCTAAAAAAAAATACAAAGTTGTTTGGAATTCAAATATTTTTTTACAAAAAAATGATGCAAAAATATTGAAAAAAGCAAAAAAATACATTCATTTATACTATAGAGTGATCTTTTGCCTTTTAAATTCAACCGAAATATAGCTATGTGTGGAAGAATTTTTATTGTTTATTCACCAATTAATTAACTTGTTTATTCATCGGCAATATTTTAGTAAAGCATTTCGTTAGTAGACTAATAAAACTTTCAATGATATTGCGATGTTTGTATTTGACTTATTGAAATTATCGAACAAGTCTTCAACCATTTCTTTGAAATGGTTAAATATCAAATATTACAGATGAGAATATAGGTTATTATTTTATTTACAAAATGGATCACAATTTCAGGTTGTTCCATCGTATCTTTTAATTACATATCTCGTCTATTTTTTAGCCCATTTAACAAGAGATTAAATGGTGTAGATGATGATTCTGGATGTCCAAACAATATCATTTGGAATCTTGTTAATAAATTTTGAATCTTTAATTATTGAATAGATATTTGAATCGTCTTGTGAACCTGTCATATCAACTGATACTTCTCAATGGATAACTATTGCCTTTTTTTGAACGTAGAATAGATTCAAGTTTATTCTTTGTAATTTCATAACATGATGAAGGTGAGAGTAGTGACTGAAATAATCGTCTTGATGCTATTGTAGCAGCAAACACTAATGCATGTTCATCCAAGAAATGGCCAATACCAATAAATTTATTTTTAGGAAAATCGAATACTTCTATAAAATGAAAAATATCTCCACCAAACCATTGATTTTTATAAGGAGAAGAATGTTGTGGTGGTCGACCATGACTACGAAAGTCGAAAGTGATAACATGAAAAGTAGATATTGCTTCATCGATAATATGATCATAACATCAACCACGAAGTAATTCCACCATTCTCTTGAACAATAGACCAATTAGGTACAACAATAAAATGACTTGTCAGAGTGGCAAACCTTATTGATCTAAAATAAAATATTATAAATCACATGATATTTTTAATTAAAAAAAATAGAAAAATATTGATTACAGAAGGATAGGATTAAGATCTAATAAAGCAGATTCATTAAATTCAGTTAATGGTCGATTGATGGTCAAATATTCTTTAACTGATAAAATTTCTTCGTGTGTTATTGTTCTTGTATCATCTCTAAACAATTTATTAAGATCAATTTGATTATATAAAAAAGCTCTAACTTGTAAAGTAGGATTTACATGTCTTCCAGTTGATAGCGATCCAATGTCTTTACAGCGACCAGTTGGTCGATATTCGTAGTAGGCTTTACATAGTTTTTCATTCGCCAAAATACTTTTATAACAAGACCAACAGGAAAGAAAATCGACAAAGAAATGTTCAAAGAAACTCAAACGGCTTTCAATGCATCCGTTTCCATCTGGTGATACCACATTGAGTATTCATGCACCTTCTTAAATGTGTTCGATGAATTGGTCTGGTTCATTATAACAACATTGAGCATCAAACCAACTTGTTTCCGATCTTTTTCGATAACACCCTCTGGCATTCTTGTGATATACACATGTTTCACTTCTGGATTTTCGTTCATCACATCCATTATCAACTCTAAAACCCATAAATTCGTCTATTGACAGTTATGTTGGTACTCGCCAAGGACACTGGTATTTGACTGACATAATGGGATAGATCTTTTTGTACAAGTAACCAAACTAGAAAATAAACGACATGGACCAAAGCGGTGGTTGTGAAAATTTTTGCACCCAGAAACAGAGTCTAAAAAAGCCATTGTCTTCTTTGAATTATTTCAAATGAAAATTGTAATACATGAACTCGATCTTCTGATTCGGACGAAACAGAAAAGAGAATGTCATAACGAATGATTAAATTATCGATGGGCGGTAGATTGAGACTACCCAAACCGAGATCAATACGGCGTCGGGTGTCATTATAAAGAGTTTGTTTATCAGCTGATAATTGTGTTGCATAATCATAGATTATGACACGAAAGAAATTAAAAATTATTAAGGGTAGTAATTTAAGTAAATAAATAGAAATAACAGTGGCTTTAACGATCATTGTTAATCATTAAGACTAAAAGGTTAAATTTTATTTATTCTAATAGTGATTTATTTTCGACGTTTCGACTAATTAAATTGCCATTCTCAAGAATTACAACAAAGTACAAATATAACTTTTAAGTTAAAATATATTGGTTTACGTTATAAAATTGTAGAGAGAACACCTATTAATTCTGGTAAGTATTAAATCTTAAAACATTCAGTAGTAAAGGAATGTTATAAAGAAGGATTTCAGTAATAAAATATAGTAGAAGAAGGAAAGAACAATAGAGAAAGAATGACGTAAAGAAAGAAAAGCCACAAGAAAATATATAGTGGGGTCGAATGAATTATTCTGTTTAAGTTCGGTTCATATGTCTTGATTACCAATGATTTCTGAATATGTAATTTCTTTACATTTTTGTCTTTTCAAATGATCTTACTGTATAACCAATCAATTTCATCTTTAATATCTATATGATGTTGGAATAAAGCAGAACTAGTTCTAGTTTTTCTTTCTTTTTCTTCATTCTTGCACATATTCTGTTTATTTTCTTTTAGTTCTGTTGTTTCATTTATAATACTAATAGTTGGTCCATATGTAAAAGTTAAATTCTTGATAAGTAATTTTCTTTCTTAGTCGATTAGCACGTCTCTTTGACAAAAGACTTGAATATGTATTACTATAATTAATGTATTTGTCACATCATCATCATCATTTGAATCATTTTTACTTACAACATTAATACCATTATTGTTGGCTATCGTATTACTTGCAAGAATATTGATCCATTCATTATTCAACAAACTATTATTATTGCGAAGTAATCGATTATAATCAAGATCATTATTAACAAATTGATATTTTGCATGTAATGCTTTTAATGCATCACTCGTATCATTGTTACTTTCGATATAATTATTCATGATATTTAATGTTTCTTTAGCGTTTAATTCATTATTTAATGATTAATTTGATATGAACACCTTTATTTCATCTATATTATCATTATTTGATTGTTCCTTCATATGTTTAATTGTTGGATGTTGTTTATCTCTTGAAGTAAGTGTATTGATGAAGGTTTCATTAAGCCTTGTTTGTTGTTTCTTCAGACTTATTCGCATTAAACTTATTAAGTTTATTCTTGTTCATTTTATCATTTTTACATAAACTTGTAATAGGTGATTTACCTTTTGTACGTGATCTAGTATTGTTTACTATTACGTCATCTGTTGTTTTGAAATCAATTACATATGTGTCTTGGATGAATACATATTCTGTTGTTGTACACTGTGGAGTATTATCTAATGAATGGTCTCCATTACGTTCATCCATACTACATATTACTTTATATTTATCAACTTTTCACCATACTTATATTTTCTGTTGCTGTGTTATTTAGTTCATCATTATCTTTATTGTTAAATGATTTGTCAATAGTAAGATATCCAGTGACTTTTTTAGTACCATTATTAATTGCAATTTTTTTTAATTTGTAGAAATTAACGTATCATTGTTCGTTTTTTCATTAAATGAATTATCAAAATTAAGAACATGTGGACCTTGTTTAATATCATAATGGAATGTTATCGTTTTATTATTGATTTGTATTGATTCATTATTGTTTATTTTATCATTAAATGATGTATCAATATTTAGATCAATTGTAAAATGTTCAATGCTACTATCAATTGTATTTGTCTTGTTATTTGTGGATAATAAATTATTGTGATTTATTTTATCATCAAATGAACTATCAATATTAAGATCATGAGTGATTTGTTGAAAACTGTTATCAATTGTTGTTTTCTTATTATTTTCTGACGTTAAAACTTTATTATTTGTTTTATCATCAAATGAATCATCAATGCTAGAAGCAGATATACTCTGTTTAATGCTGTTATCAAATATTATTGTCTCCTATCGATTCGCATTGATCCATTATTAGTTGTTTTATCAGTAAATGATTTTTCGATGTTAAGATTAAGAGTAACTGGTTTGACATCATCATGAATTGTTAGTCTTTCTTCAGATTTATTTTGATTCTTTATTATTTGTGTTTTTTTATAATTGGTCCATAGCCAGATCAAATGTAGGCTGTGTAAGAGAGCCTATATGAGAGTACCAAAGATGACGCTAGTATCCAGGATATTTCTAACAATTTTTTTCATTTTCGCATTGCATTGGATAGACCATCAAATGCACCACTGATCCCAAATTGTTGGCTCATTGGAATATGCTGTAGAAAAGATAGTCAATAGCAAGTTTGCAGCACCAGCAACTAAATATGAATAATGTAGTCGGAAACGATTCCATAAATCTTCACAGCGAATATAGGTCAATAAGTCGGAAAATTCTTTTATTATACTCACACAGTTATAGCAGGCTATCACGCGAGTAGCATTAGATCGAGCGAAGGGGCAACTTTGGATAACTGGGCACACAGTCGAAAGAAGGAAAAGATTTTATACTTTTCATAGTTGACATCTATACAAATTTATTCTCGCATTCATTATTAATCGATCGACGATCGTAAAGATCAATACCCAAATAATAGTGAAAAATGTAAATCGAAACGTCATTTTTTTATTGAGATTTTGATTTGAAACTTCGATTGAGCATCGATAGATATATTACAGTCGACAAGAGCTATCCATTGAATTGATTGATCATCGTGATCGAATTCCACATGGCGAAATCGACTTCATCGATGGATGTGAGTGTGGGCATGTGTGAGGCTAAAGAACAGACAGATATTCAGACTCCACCTAAATTATGTGTTTATAAAATATTGAAGACCAAAAACAGTTTGACCATAGTCGTTTACCATTTTACTAGCCTTGATTTAACGTTAAATACATTTAAAAAATGCCTGACAGTCATCAATGTAAATTACTTTGTGTTGCGTAGAACACAAAAGACAAATTTAAGAACAATTAACAGACAAACAAATATCTCTTTTTGAGGATCTCTATAATGAACTCCTTCTCATGATTTATCGCTATCGGAAGATAACTGATATACTCAAAATTTTTCTCAAAATCGTCTACCGTCATTTTTTGTGTACTTCCGATTATCATACACGGATCAATCTAACAAATTATTCTCGAGTTGACCTCCGACATATTCGCATTGAATTTATTGCTCGATTGCTTCTAACAAACAATGTCGACAGTTAGTCATAGCATGATTTCAAATCAAATCAATGCGTGCTTTTTCATGAACGAATGTGTTCACTTATGAAGTACTTGTCGTCATGTTCGTTTAATATGAGATATGAATTATGTACATTTCATTTCAACTAAAAATATCAAATCCAAACGCATCAGGATTAGTTTTTCGTGGTAGATAATTTGTCTTGATTGATCTGAATCCGATGATTATTTTTCTACAGATAGTTTTGTCCCATAGACTCAGCTTTTTCACAAAACATGCGTGCTTTTGAACGATCACCTATACTTTTGTACAGAGATCCGATATTGTACTAAGAAGCAGCAAGACTAGGATGGTTCAAAGAAAGATATTGTAGTCGGATTTCGAGTGTTGTTTCATAGAACTTGAGTGCTTTCAAGTAGTCTTTTGGTTGATGATGCGCAATACCCATGCAATTGTAAGTACTGGTCATATCTGGATAGTTTGAATCAAGTGAATTTTAATAAATATCAATCGCCTTTTTATATTATTGGAGTGCTTTTGAATAGTTTTTCACATTCTTATATATAGAAGTGATATTGCTAGTTTTTCGTAGATATCTTTAGCTAGATCGAAGTAAGTCATTTGTAGAAGCACTTTACCCATTCTATGTCATCTGGTCGCGTTATCTGTCTCTTCTCTTAAGCATTCAGCAAGTTTTCGGAGCTGTTGATCATCATCGTTAGTTAATATGAGCATGTGGGTATGGAGGTTACCGAAGAGAAGGCTTATACCCACATCCACACCCACACTATCGAAATGATTCTTTATTTCTATCACGTATATGAATCGAAAAAAGTAAAAAAAAAAGCCGGAGAGGGTCAATTGAAGATTCTCTGTTTTCACTTAAGGATATCTCCTCTTTTGGACTACTTCTGGTTCTCGGCGAGAGTACAAACGATAGGGCTCACATTTTTGCCACAGCCTAGACTATCGAAAATGATGGGAGCCATATTCGCCGAAAAAATTTTGCAAGCAGATTTTTATGGATTTTTGAAGGGATCTTTAAAAACCATCGAGTTTTGCTTACAACACCGGGCTTAATTTGTCCTATCGGACTGGAATTTTGATCACAGACGCTTGGAAGTATTATTCAGAGATGAAATTGCCTATTTTCGTTTTTGGTCTTCCTATCAGGATTTATGGAGTCCTGAATCACCAGCATTCCGGTTTTGTATCCGAATCTTTATGTATTTCCCTCATAAAAGAAAAGATTTTCAACCCGATTGGGCAAAGTTAGACGAGGGTCGTAAGCATGACCGGTGTGATTCTATACAAAACTAAAATTTTACTGAAAAAGGTTTGTTTAAAATTTTTTGTTGAAGTACGTATCTCCTTGTTTTAGGTGCCCTAGGTGTGATGAAAATTTCCTGCATACTTGTTGTACCCCTTCGAGTACTAGAAATAGTCAAAATAAAAGAGGGAGAGAAGTATCCTTAAATGCAATCAAATTTAGAACATTTACGAACGATTAATCTGTGCGATAAATTTTCTGACGCTTAGCCTGTAGTAGAACAGCTTTTTCCTTGGAATTACTCAGTTGCACAACAACGTCTACATTTACGTTCGGTCCCCATTTAGGGCCATTTCGAGCAGTGACTCTGATATAATTATGATTGATGTCAGATTGTCGTGGTTGCTCTTCTATAACATGTGTCTCCCAAATTTGAGCTTGATTGTCGTTACCAAACATGATCCATGCTATATCGACCTTGACATCTGATGGAAATGGACTTGAGTCGACGGTTTTGATACGCAATATGGCTATCATCGGACGACCAGATTCCTCACAAATCGGCATAAAATCGCGCCATATATGAGTTTCCAGTCGATATTCATTCCCATCCATTGACACCTGTTCTGGAGCCGACGACAACGTTGTCCATGCTATAGATGCGTCTTCAGGATCGGTGGCTACTATAAAAATAAAATAAATTCTGAGAATTATGACTAATGATTGAGTCAGACAGATATTAGTGGCTTCATTCGGTTTTGTATTTTTATTGCCCATTATAACGAATTTGAAAAGCAAGTGCTAGTTTATGTAGTAAACGCTTTATTTAGCGTCTTCACTTTATAAGTTGAATCTTTCACGTAGTGCGCATAAGCTTTTATGTTAGAGAACATGGCGAGAACACAAGTAGAGAACGATCACAAGACCAAGAAAGAGAAAGAG